CTCCCCCTCTTTCCTTCCTTTCTTTCCCATCCACCCACCCACCCATCCATCCATCCATCCATCCATCCATCTCTCCGCAGACACGCACTCTCAATCAGGCTCTGAATCCTCCCAGGCTGCCTTCTGAAGACAGCCCCCCTTCTAGGGGAGGCCTGAAGTTATGGCAGGTAGGGATGCTGCCATCAGCTACAGCCTCCTTTGCGGGGCTGGAGCTCAGGACGGAGGCTCGGTCCTTGCCCTCACAGCCTCTGATGTCCACAGCACTGCCAGTGGCGCCGCCCGCCACGCCAAGGGAGGCTTGGGGAAGGCGTCCAAGGTGTCTGCACGTGACGTGCACACTGGGTGGCTGTGCTTGTGCAACGGGGAGAACGAGTGCCCTGTGGGGCAGTGAAATATCTGTCTTTCCCAGGAACGAGGCTGCCTGGGGGAGAGCACGTGAACTCCAGGGACCCCTGTTCCGGGAGAGAAGCTGCCACTAGAGAGAACATTGGGCCCCAGGTGGGGGAGGGGAGTGTGCTTCACAATTGTGCTCTGAACCATCTCAGTTGTGCTGGGGACCCTCAGTTTGTGCTCTGGAAACCTCTTCTCCACTGCCCTTCTCTCTCCAGGAAAGAGGCAGAGACCACAACCCCGTGGGTGTGGGGATGGGGACAGGGATTTGGCTAAGGCTTAATGGAGGTGGGAAAGGGTTCTGGGTTGGTCACTGCCCCCAGGCGGGTGGCAGGGGCACACCCCACCCTCCCCAGGCAGGAACAACTGAGGATTCCACCCAGAGCCCGGGGCAAAGCTCTCTTACCAAGGCTCATGCTCAAGCCGAGGGCACCACCCACATCAGGAAACGGAACTTGAGGCAACTTCCTCACAGGTCTGAGCCCCATGTCCTGACACCTCTGTTCCCGTCCTCCTCTCTCAGCCAGGTAGCCCCTAGGCTCAGAAGCAACCAGATCTGGGGTCCTATTCTATGGCAGACTGAGCCTAAGCCCACCTCCCCATCCCCCAGCCCCAGTGCCTCTCCCCACCAGGGAGACCCCCAGGCCTAAGAACCGCAGGTGGCAAGTTACAGGGCAAGAGGGAGGTGGAGTGACTCCTGCAGTGGCGACTTGGAGATACCTTTGTGCTGGGGATCAGGACTCCCGGGTTGTTCAGATTACATGGGTGCAACTTGGTGGGAGGCTCTCAGAGGGCTACATGAGTCGGGAGCCTTGACTGAGGGCAGAGCTGCTCCCAGACCCCTGTTCAGGGTAAAGGAGCAGAGTCTGCTGGGACCAAAGTGGAAAACGGGGCAGGGCGGACTCACTCTCCTTGGGCAGAGGCCTGGCCTGAGCCGGTGGCCACCTGGGGGAAGAGACCAGGCCTGGACGAGAGGGCAGGTTGAGCATGGGGGGGAGAGGCTGGCAGGGTTGGTCGGGGGTCACAGCTCTGACTCTGGGGTGCTGGCCAGGAGGTAGCCACTCCCATAGCGTCCGTTGGGGTTACCGCCGGCCTCCAGGGGCGACGTGCTGCCGGGCCCCAGGTAGGAGCGATGGGCGGGCATGGGGGAGGGCGCCTCGCTGGGCACCTTGCTGAGGATGAAGCGCGTCTCGTCGTTCTCCTCCAGGTTGGAGATGTCCTTCATCATGCGGCCCTTCTTGTAGGACACGGAGAGGGTGTTGGAGCCATCGGAGAGCAGGTGGAAGTGGCGCAGGATAAACACCACAGGGATGGGCAGCGTCGCCACGGCGATGAGGGCGATCAGGAGCGCCATGGCCCAGTTGGGAAAGTACAGGTAGCGCTCGGCTGCCTGGGGGCGGGCAGGTGGGTGGCTGTGAGGGCTGCTGCTGGTACTGCCACAGCCTCCTTGCCCATGCCTTCACCACTCCTCGCCCCTCCCACCTTCTGGCCAGGCACAGTCGAGAGAGAGAAGGGGGTCGTCAGAGACCTTGGTTAAGGGGTCTCCGTTTCTACACCTATGAAATGGATGGGCCATTCTGGGTTAGAAAGACCGGACAAGTGCATTTGCCTCCGTTTCCCCATCTGTGCTATATGGATATGTCACCTCTCTTTTGGGGTTGCTGCAAAGATGACAGGTGCAGTAGCTGCCCCATGAAGGGGTATCCCTGCGGGCTGTTGCATGAAAGGCCTAGGAAGGGGTCGATGTCCCTGGGGCTTGGGGCCCAGAGCTCACCTCCTCCTTGATCCAGGCGCTGTAGCCCGGGGGTGTGACCCCCAGCTGGATGATGCTGGCCGTGGTGAGCACAGCCATGCACAGTGGAGACACGAACTTCCACATGTAGAAATAGAAGCGGTAGGGTCGGAAGCCCAGCATCTCCGTGAGTTCCTGCATGAACCTGCCAGCGTAGCAGAGGCCCCGGCAGTTGGCATCCCCGCCACTGTGCTCTCTCTTCCCCCCACAGCCACCTCCTCCTTGCCCAGTAACTCCCTCCCAGGCTCTTGGGCTCTTCATACTCAGTGCTCATTTGTGTGTGGCCTGGCTGGTCTCTGGGAAGGCTCTGCTGTCGGCCATTAGCCTTATCTGACGCCATCACAGCAGACACACCCTGGGCAGGCGGACAGGCCTCAGGGGGCTTGTATGTTCGGGGAGCCCCCCGCCCAGCGCCCTGGCCTGGCTCAGACTCCCCCTGCTGGACAAGAGGTAGAAGCGCCCATCCCTAATACACAAAGGTAGAAGCTGTCCTGACTCAAGGGGTCTCCAACCCCCGCCATCACTCCCCAACACTTGGGATCTGTGAGTAGAATTTGGGGAGGCACGCCCGCTGTGTGCCTGAATGACATTTTAAAAAATCTTTGCCTCAATAACACCTAACTGAAATCTGGTATTTCTTTGTATTATAAATGCAAGCAACCACAGTAGTACTAACAATATCTGTGACTTTGTCACCAATAGATTAAATCACGATGTTTTCATATCACATCATAGTTGTTGAAGATACCTTGAGACATCCCTTATATCCATCACTACTTCGAAATTACCATTGTCATTAGAGCCACAGCTGGATCTTGTAAATTTTTTTTTTTTTTTTTTGGGTTGGAGTCTCACTCTGTTGCCCAGACTGGAGTGCAATGGCCGCTCCCAGCTGCCGCAGCCTTGACCCGCTGGGTTCTGGAGATCCTTCTGCCTCAGTCTTCCAAGTAGCCGGAACTACAGGTGCGCGCTACCACGCCCAGCTATTTTTTTTTTGATTTATTGTAGAGACGAGGTCTCGTCAAGTTGCCCAGGCGGGTGTCGAACCCATGGGCTCAGACAATCCACTCATCTCGGCCTCCCAAAGTGCTGGGATTACAGGTTGAGCCACCGAGCCCGGCCGGATCTTGTAACTTAATGCATTGAAAATGAAGTACATGTAAATTTCTATATCACTTCGAGACCCGCCTGGGCAACTTGGCGAGACCTCGTCTCTACAATAAATCAAAAAAAAAAATAGCTGGGCGTGGTAGCGCGCGCCTGTAGTTCTGGCTACTTGGAAGACTGAG